TTTGCTATAAATACATTTTAGGACCAAAAACCTAATCATCTTATCTCTTATCTTATTTTAGCCTTAAGAACTTGCCTCTTTTGTGAAACTTGATTAATCTAATCCGATATGTCGTTTTTGCATCAGAATCTTGTTCTTTCTTTATTTCTTTTATCATCCAGTATTAAACTCCTTATCATGACTAGCTACACGTCTTGCAAAGCACTTAGTGAGCTCGTTATGATCAGTGAGTAGTCGTTTAAGCGGCTTTAGATAGGTAGATTAGAGTGCTTTCGAGATAGATTAATGGGTTTAGGTGTCTAGTCTTGCATGTTTCATTCCTTAACCGACGAGATCTCTAAGCTGGATCCAAGCACATCACTTGGGGTTCAGATCTGAGACATATCTCGCATCAAAAGTGTTTGTAGAAATGTCTGAACCACTCGGTTAAGGGTTTAAGAGTCTTTCATCGCGAGAGTGATAGTTTGTTCTCTTAAATGACATTTTTGAACTGAATCTTATTGCTGACTGAATCGTGCTTCTCAAAAGAGATTTTGGTATGAAAAAGGATCAGTTTAGATGTTTAATACTTTCATGAGAAGATTAACATGCCTTGAGTTCAAAGTTAAATGAAATCGCTTGATAAAATGATTCATTAACCCATTAGTGTAGCTTGGAAGCACCCGAGTCAAGTATCCTGTCTAAAGCTTCTGCTTTTATCATGTATTATCATCATCCGAATCATTTGCTTGTCATTTGCATCTTTACTTAGTTTAAATCTCATCTCTTGCTTCATTTTTATGCTCATTCACTTGTTAATTAGTTTAGCTAAAACCTTTATCATTCTCTCTTGACTTAGGATCACAAGTAATATAGATTAGTGTCTCCACTATAAGTTTGGTTTGATAACCCCTTGTACTACAAGGACAGGGGTATTGATAACCTCTTTAAAGAGTGAAAACTCTTAGTTATCAGTGTTCAACCATAATGAGATATACTGATTACAATATGTGCGTCCTTTTTCCATTCTCTCTAACTGGTAGAGCTAGTAAATGGCTTAAAACTTTGCCACCTGCGTCCATAAGGACGTGGAAAGAGTGTAGAGAGGCTTTCCTAAGTCACTTTTACAATAGAGATCGTTCAAATCTCTTAAGGGACAAGATCCAAAAATTTCAGCAGGAGGACACAGAAGACCTCTATGACACCTGGGAAAGATTCAGAGACTACCAAAGAGATTGTCCACACCATGGTTTCTCCGAGGAACGCTTGATGACCATTTTCTACCATGGAGTTAATGAAGAACTGAAGTATTCTTTTGATACCTCCAGCAATGGATACTTTCCGACTAGATCTTTAGATGAGGCTCACGCCTATATCACTAATCTAGCTGGAAGTATCAGAAATAGAAGACTTCTAACCCAATCTAGATGCCCTAAGATTGAGGAAAAAGAACCATCTGTTAGGAAAGATTGCCTAGATCAGATTAGGGAAGACATCTAGAAGATTCTTAGTGTGATTGGTCCGATTCATAACTCTGATGATAGAAGCAAACATAACAAGCCCTACATCGAAAAGATGAACAACTTTGAGGTGGCGAGGAAATTCCAAACTCAGGAGATGATGCAAACTGCTGATGTCTACCAGATTGAAGAGGCTGAGCAGAATCAACCCCACCAGGGGTGGGAGCCTTTCAACCGCGGTAAAACTGACCTCCACCGTGGGTGGGAAGCTTTTGGCCGCGGTCAAGAGGAGTTTCACCGCGGGTCAGAGCACTTTGATTGCGGCCAGCCTGATTTTCAACCCCTTTTCCAACCTTCTTTTGAGCAAACCCAATCTGATCGACCCAATTCCTCACTTCCTCCTTATTATCCTTTTTCCAGGATTGAAGAACTTGAAAAAGAGGTTAATAGACTCAAAAAGGAGATGGAGAGTCAATCAAAGAAACATGAGGATGCTATTAACAAGCTCTAAACCCTATTTCTTCTTCAGATTAGTGATGAATCAAAGGAGACGGATTCTTCCGTTAACGATCTTGATGAACCTTTTTCTGAAAGGATAAATGAATCGGAGACCTCTGATCACTTAAAAGCAACCACCCTCAGAAGTGGTTTAGCTTACAAGGAACCAGAGTATCCAAAAGATTTCGAAGAAGGAGAAAAAAGAGTAGTTTTGGCTAATAAAGAAGGAGATGCAGTGGTTAGGAAAGAGGGAGAAAATGAGAAGGAAGACACTCCTCAAGCAATTGCTAAAGAATAACCTATGCCGCCTCCTCTTACTCGTGTCTACAAGCCCAAACCACCATACCCACGAGCTTTGAAAGGACCAAAGAAGGAGAAATAAAAGGGCTAAGCTAAAAGAGATGATCGAGCAGTAAAATGTGAGATTACTGATCTGCTCAAAGTTTAATCCCTAAGCTACTCTGCAAGAGCACAGATGTGCAATTGTAGTATGTAGGGGTCGAACCACAGAGACGAGAGATTCGCTCAATAAACCTATTAGAAATTGAATTACGCTAAGCAGATTAATAAGAAGCAAATAGCGATGCAAATAAAGATAAACAAATGCATTAAAAACGTTTGTAAAGTTCAGATGGGTGGAGATTAGGTCTAGGGCGTTTCTCAGGAAATCAATGAATGCAGAACAATCGATTAATCAGGGTTCAGGTTTAAGCACGGTTCTTGAACTCGAATCACAAAATTATAATTAACCAACTTCCGTTGTGAGAATTATCTAAGTTAAAATCCTAGAATTCCAAATTCCTTTGCAAACCCTAAAGACATAAACCAGCTTTAATGCACAAGTTTGATATGTTCACAAAGTATCTAAACCTAATTCCTTTGCGAATAGCTACTTTGCTCACCTTAGTTTCTTTCCAGTTATTCAATTACATTTCCGTGTCAATCAATTAACCTAAGATCTAAGTTCTAGGTGGCCAGTCCAGAATTAGCTTTAAGAACAACCTATGGTGAAGAACTAAATAGATTATGAAACCTAACTAATCAATCAATCTAACATCCAAAGAAATCCTTTATGAGAACCCTAAACCTAACAAGCTAACTACTCAGACATGGAGATTGAAGCAATAAACATGAATGAATAGATTGCAGAAAACAGTAAATAGATTAATAAACAGGGGTTCAAAATCTTCTCTCTCCGGAACAGAGTTTCAGACTTGTCTCCCCAAAAGCTCTCAAAAACAAAAGTTTCTCTAAGAAAATCTAAGGTATCGATATAAGGTGGCTAAAAACCCTATTTATAACTTAAAAACACGTTTTGGGCTTCCTTGTAATTATTAGAGACTTTTGGGCCCAACTCCTTCAAATATGAGACAAAATCGCGTTTTCCTTATTTCTGCAATCGGTGTCGAGCGTCACTCTCCATGGTGTCGAGCGACACTAAAGCACATAATTCATCCTTCACGAATTTGATACTTTTTTAGCTCCAAAGTGCTCCAAAATCACCAATTAAGCTCCAAACGTACCTATGACCTGTAAAGACTCCAAAAGACTCGAAAGACACTAAAAAGACTCTATTAATAAGACTTATACCATGGTTAAAAACCATAAAAACCATGATATATCAACTCCCCCAGACTTAGCATTTGCTTGCCCTCAAGCAAACAGAACACCAAATAAGAGAAAGAGGTTTGAAAACGCAGAGACTCAACCTTTCACTGGAACATCGCTTTTGACCAATTACCCTGCAACTCAACTACTGCTTCATCATTCCAAATCGAACCACCATGTACTTCTCCGCAGACATTCACAGCTTCCCAGATTAAATCCAAAATTCCATAACATTGTCCATAAACCCTCATCGCTGGATCTCACTGATGATTCAGATGCCAAGAACCTTCCAGATTCTTTCCCGTACTATACTCAAACAAATCAGCCATACAAACTTTGGTATTTTTCTCTCCCCCAGACTTATTCTTTTCGCACATTCATCATCTTCTTTCTTTTTTTTTACTATGGCGTATACTCGATAAGAGTAAAGCTGCGAGTACTGATGGTGTTTGCCATCAAGTCCCCGAGTTGTCCCCTTACCTTGTATCAAAGGTTTTCAGCGAATAGTGGGGTCATGGGAAACATTCCTACCCCTCACTTCCTTCCTTTGTGTGATCTTTCTAACTTAGAAGTGAAATAATGGGATCATTGGAAACATTCCTAGCCCTTCACTCCTAAGCGAAAATCATCTCAATCTTTTTGCCTTTTTCTTTCTTTCTTCACTTTTAGCTCGTCACAGGGAGAGAAGCACCACCATTAGATTTCACACAGGCTTTCATTTGTCAAGTATGAACGAGGAATCAAGCTCTATGAGCATCAGTCACATCAATGAGGTAAAAGAAAGAGTTCAGAAATCAGCTCAGGTTAGTGGATTCTGTTGGAAACATGGACGCCTCTAGTCAACTGGTCAGCCTTTGGATTTTTCATTAGTCGGATCTAGACTGAATCTGCAGCAATGGTCACTTAGATGAAAGGTCAGCACAATAATTCCAGGAAGAGCATCATAATCTCCAACAAGTTTTGACTCAAAAACGTTTTGACACAGCTGACTCTTAAGAAAAACAAACACAATGTCAGCAACTACCTCCCCCAGACTTGATCAACACTGTCCCCAGTGTAATCTAGTCCCAAGTTGGTGAAACAAAAGAAAAGAAACATAGAAACGCAGGAAAAACAGAGAACTTACCTGGCTGCAATGATGGTGTCGCGTGACACTGATGATGGTGTCGTGCGACACTTGTTCTCCTCGTACCGAATTGCAGCAGAACAATCCGAATTTCTAGTTTGACTCCGGTTTCCTGATTTCCTTTTTTTGTTTTGTTTTTTGACAGAAGCAAGTGACAAGTGACACCGATGGTGGTCTCGCTATACACCAACATCTGCTTCACCTAAAACACGAAAACGAAAAGCGAAAGTTAGCTGAAACAATTTACAGACTCACCAGTGGATTGCCTTCCACCAAGCGCTTGTTTAAAGTCATTAGCTTGACTTTGGATAGACTATGCATCTGGTGGTTCAGACAGTGGCAGAGAATGCCTCTGTGAAAGTCGTCTCATCCATGGTGGTGTGTAAGCATTGTGCGCATGAGGTCGTCCAAGGAATGCAGGAATAGCAATAGGGTGAGATCTGTGTTTGTGACCTTGACCTTTGCTTTGGTATATCATCAATCAAAAAACCAAGTGCTCTTTGCTTTGGTGGAGATGAATGGAATGAGATGTTTGGAGCTTCCTGATCAATAGCAGCTACTGGTTCTGTAGACGTCTTAGTCAACTCAGGTTGATCTATCACCTTCTCAGCATGAAACACGTTCTGATCTCCAACTATCACTTCAGGTATTGCATTGACTTGGAATGTCTGACCATCTATGGTCGAATCCTTCAGCTTCTCCATCTTGAAAGTCATGATGGTATCTCCCAGGTGGAGATCAAGATTACCATGCTTGACATCAATCACCGCTCCAGCTGTAGCTAAAAACGATCTTCCCAGGATAAGAGGATCTTTGGGTTCCTCTCCATAATCCAGAATCACGAAATCTGTAGGAATTACGCAATCACCAACTTTGATCGGAACATCCTCCAAGACACCTATTGTATTCTTTTAGATCGATCTGCTAGGATCAAAGAGATCTTAGTTGGTTTGAAATCAGTCATCCCAAGGCTAACAGCTACAGAGTATGCCATGAGGTTGACACTCAAACCAAGATCACACAGTGATCTCTTGAACCTCTCTGAGAAAATAAAGCAGTCCAAGACAAAGCTTCCTGGGTCCGAGAGCTTCTCTGGCATCTTATTCTGAATCACAGCACTGACCTGTTCAGAAATCATCATCATTCCTTCCTCATGACTCAGATTATTAGTCACCATCCTCTTCACATAGTGTCTGAGAGTAGGAGCAATATTCACAGCATCAACCAAAGGAATCTCAATCACAAGCTTCTCCATCAAAGCCTTGCATCTAGCATCGTCTAGCTCCTGCTTGGACTTCTTAGGACTCCTTGGATAAGGAACCTGAGGTTTGTAAACCTTTTCCTCTGTTGGCTTTGGATTCTGAGCAATATCGGCTTTGCTCTGCAATTGGTGTCGCGCGACACTAGTGGTGGTGTTGCTCGACACCGGCTCTGCAGTTTCGAAATTTTCTTCAGATTCGTCCAACTCCACGATTTCATCCTCAAAAACACCCTTTTTAAGCACAGGAGTCAACTTTTTACCACTCCTTAACGAGATGGCACTGCAGTAATGCCTAGGATTGGTATTAGTCTTTCCAGGAAGGAATCCTTCTTGCCTTTTTACAGACTCTGCAGTCTGAGCAACCTGAGTATCAAGCTTCTTGACATGAGTGTTCAGAACTTCAATTTTTCCATTCAGATCCAGATACAGAGCATCAATCTTCCCATTAAAGTCCACTGTCATCTTCTGCTGACCTTCCAAGATCTGTTCCAGCATAGACTTCACCTCATTATCTGGACTTTGAGGGGAAAGAGCATCATAGTTCCTTGAGAAACTGTTGTTGGAGTAAGATGTCTGGTACTGAGGTTTGGAGTTGTAACCAGAAGAGTTCTGATTACCTGTGAAGGTACTCCTCTGATTATTTCCATTGGAATTCGTGTTCCCTTGCCCAAAACCAAATCTCTGACCCTGAAATCCAGCTCCATTGATGAAGTTAACATCCTCTTCCTCAAGTGCTTCATCTGGTTCGAAATTCTTAACCTCTGTAGCGTATCGGACGGACTTCTTACCCACTAGAAGGCTATGCACAGAGTCAAGCTTAGCCTTCTGCTCAGCAATCTGCGATCCATCCATGTTTCCACCCTGCTTCTTTCGCTGATAGTCTGCATTCTTGGTACTATTGCTAGATGCCAAGTTCTCAATAAGCACAACAGCGTCTTCAGGGTATCTGGTGTTGAAGTCCCCATTGCTCACAGCATCAAGAGCCATCTGATACCTCCAATCAACACCTCTGAAGAAAATACCCAGCAGCTGAACATTACTGAAACCATGATGTGGACAATCTCTCTGATATGACTTGAATCTCACCCAAGCAGCCTTGAATGCTTCAGTTGGTCCTTGAGTGATTTTGAATCTCAACTCTTCAGACCTGGCATCGTAATAGAAGTTGTGCAGGAAGGTGTTCCTGGTCTCTTCCCAAGTAGTTAGTGATCCTGGCTCCAACTGCTTCAACCAGTTAGCTGCTTCTCCAGCAAGAGAGTATGGAAAGAGCTTGCAGAAAAGGTAATCATTGGACACTCCATTGTATTTGATGCTGGTGACCAAGTCCTCGAACCTCTCAATATGATCCATTGGGTGCTCATGAGAAAGACCATGGAAAGGATGCTGACCCACAAGAGTGTAATACACAGGCTTGAGCTCAAAATCATTCCTCTGAAACGCAGGAGCGCGAATCGCAGACCGATTTGCATAGAATTGCTCAGGTCTGTTGTAATCACCCAGCGTCCTGATGATGTTACCCTCTCCATCAAGTCGCTGGCCTCTCTCATTACACACATGACCCTCTTGGTCTCTCCAGACTCCAGCATCATCACGAACCAATGCCAATACGTTCTCCATCTTTGCTAATTTCTTAGACAAAGAGAAAGAGCAATGTAAGTAACAAAGTAAAAATAAAATTTAAGAAAAACAACGGGTGTCGCGCGACACCAATGCTGGTGTCGCTCGACACTAAGAAAAACTTAGCCGAAACACAAGAACTAAAGTTTAATGGCGAAAATCAAGTCCCCGGCAACGGCGCCAAAACTTGATCTGCTCTAAGTTTAATACCTAAGCTACTCTGCAAGAGCACAGATGTGCAATTGTAGTATGTAGGGGTCCAACCATAGAGACGAGAGATTCGCTCAATAAACCTATTAGAAATTGAATTACGCTAAGCAGATTAATAAGAAGTAAATAGTGATGCAAATAAAGATAAACGAATGCAGTAAAAACGTTTGTAAAGTTCAGATGGGTGGAGATTAGGTCTAGGGCGTTTCTCAGGAAATCAATGAATGCAGAACAATCAATTAATTAGGGTTCAGGTTTAAGCACGGTTCTTGAACTCGAATCACAAAATTATAATTAACCAACTTCCGTTGTGAGAATTATCTAAGTTAAAATCCTAGAATTCCAAATTCCTTTGCAAACCCTAAAGACATAAACCAGCTTTAATGCACAAGTTTGATATGTTCACAAAGTATCTAAACCAAATTCCTTTGCGAATAGCTAATTTGCTCACCTTAGGTTCTTTCCAGTTATTCAATTACACTTCCGTGTCAATCAATTAACCTAAGATCTAAGTTCTAGGTGGCCAGTCCAGAATTAGCTTTAAGAACAACCTATGGTGAAGAACTAAATATATTATGAACCCTAACTAATCAATCAATCTAACATCTAAAGAAATCCTTTATGAGAACCCTAAACCTAACAAGCTAACTACTCAGACATGGAGATTGAAGCAATAAACATGAATGAATAGATTGCAGAAAACAGTAAATAGATTAATAAACAGGGGTTCGAAATCTTCTCTCTCCGGAACAGAGTTTCAGACTTGTCTCCCCAAAAGCTCTCAAAAACAAAAGTTTCTCTATGAAAATCTAAGGTATCGATATAAGGTGGCTAAAAACCCTATTTATAACTTAAAAACACGTTTTGGGCTTCCTTGTAATTATTGGAGACTTTTGGGCCCAACTCCTTCTTCAAATAGGAGACAAAATCGCGTTTTCCTTATTTCTGCAATCGGTGTCGAGCGTCACTCTCCATGGTGTCGAGCGACACTAAAGCACATAATTCATCCTTCACGAATTTGATCCTTGTTTAGCTCCAAAGTGCTCCAAAATCACCAATTAAGCTCCAAACGTACTTATGACCTGTAAAGACTCCAAAAGACTCGAAAGATACTAAAAAGACTCTATAAATAAGACTTATACCATGGTTAAAAACCATAAAAACCATGATATATCAATTACCTTTCATTGAAGCATGTGCAATGATACGTGCTCTTAAACATTAGAAATTCTTTAACATTAGAAGAAGGCGTTATGATGATAACTCATGAATGTAGTTCCATCTTACAAAACCATGTCCCCCAGAAGAAAGAAGATCCGGGAAGTTTTGTACTCTCTTGCATGATTATAAATATGACTTTTGAACGTAGTATATGTGATTTGGGATTGAGCATCAACATGATGCCTCTCTCAGTTGCAAGACGTTTAGGATATCATACTTTCCAGCCCACAAAAATCTCGCTGATTCTTGCCGATCGATCAGTCAGACGACCAGAAGGAGTCTTGGTTGATGTATCACTCATGATGGGAGAAAACTGTATTCCGATTTATTTCATAGTGCTTGAATTAGAAAGAGAACTAAAGGATCCTCTGATACTCGGTTTACCTTTCCTACCAACTGCAGGTGATATAATCAATGTGTCGGAAGGAAAGATAGACCTCCAAGTAGGGAGTCTAATTATGCAATTTGATATGAACAAAAGTCTTGAGAAACCCACTTTAGATGGCGGGCTTTGTCGGGTTGATGAGCTTGATGTAATTAATGAGGAAGTTTATAAAGAAATCCTTCTTGACGACCCTTTAAAAATCAGCCTCACCACCATAAATGATGATCGCAACCTGCTTGAAGAAGTTTCGAAAGGGTGTGCGCAAATGCTTCATAAAGCCAAGGATTATGCAAAACTTGTGAACTATCTCGACCTGAATGAGGAAACTCACATCCCTACCCCTCCAAAAGATACCTTGGCAGATATAAACGACCCGTGGAGCGAGCTCGAAGCTCTAAAAGTCGAACTTAAGCCTCTTCCTGATGGACTCAAGTATGCTTTCCTTGGCCCAAACTCCACTTACCCTGTCACCATAAATTCTGGCCTAAGTAAGGCTGAAACTGCTAAGCTGCTAAATGAGTTAAGTAAGCATAGGAAAGCCATAGGTTATTCTCTTGATGACATACAAGGAATCTCCCCAAACCTCTGTATGCATCAGATAAATCTTGAGGACAATGCCAAGAATTCGATTGAGAGCCAAAGGAGATTGAATCCAAACCTTATGGAAGTAGTAAAAAAGGAGATCATGAAACTTTTGGAATCAGGAATCATATTCCCTATCTCGGACAGCAGTTGAGTTAGTCCTGTGCATGTTGTCCCAAAGAAAGGAGGAGTAACTGTTATAAAAAATGACAAGGATGAAATGATCGCTACACGAAAAGTGACGAGACACCGAATGTGCATCGATTGCCAAAAACTAAATGCAGCACCTCGTAAACATAATTTTCCTTTACCCTTCACTGATGAAATGCTAGAAAGATTGTCAAATCACGAATAGTACTGCTTTCTAGATGGTTATTCCGGATTTTTCCAAATTCTAACTAGATCGGAAGATCAATAAAAGACGACATTCACCTGTCCATATGGAACTTTTGCCTATCGGCGAATGCCTTTCGGATTGTGTAATGCACCTGCAACATTTCAGCGGTGCATGATTTCTATTTTCACTGATTTCATCGAAGATTTCATGGAAGTCTTCATGGTTGATTTTTCCGTCTATGGATCCTCTTACGACAAATGCTTGGCAAACATAGGGAAAGTTTTGCAGCGCTGTGAAGATAAGCATCTTGTCCTTAACTGGGAAAAATGTCATTTCATGGTCCGCGAGGGAATTGTGCTTGGACATAAAATATCTGGGAAAGGTATTGAAGTTGACAAAGCAAAGATTCAAGTCATGACTAGCCTACAACTTCCAACTAATGTGAAGGGAATCCGAAGTTTCCTAGGACATGCCGGATTCTATAGGCTATTCATAAAAGGCTTCTCAGAAATTTCTATACCTCTCACATGTCTGCACTGTAAGGAAACAAACTTCGAATTCGATGATGAGTGCTTGGCAGCATTTCATAAGATCAAAAACGCCCTTGTTTCCGCTCCAGTTGTGCAACCACCTGATTGGGAACAAACATTTGAAATCATGTGTGATGCAAGTGATTTTTTTGTTGGAGCTGTGCTCGGCCAAACGCGTACCGGCTGGTTAAGTTTCTCGGCCAAAATTCCCGGGTGCAGACACATTTCTGAAATCGCCTGTCCGGGGAACCTTCCGGTCCGCTTCAGCTGTCGGGTGATTCATCAAAGTTGGAGAAGATTGGATCATGGTTCCAGAGCAGGTAAAATCATAGGATTTTGAGGCGTGAGCAGAGAGTTAAGCTCGTCGGAAAGAACTCTTGTCTCGCTGCCGTTTTGGACCGACCCGATGAGCTCCGAAGAATGCGAAGGACGGTGCACTTCCAGACCGATTCAGTTTACAGTGCCTTCATCAGAATACGAGATATTGGAGTCTTCTTTCCATAACGTTTGAGATCATTCAATTCGGAGCTATGAGCAAGAAGATAACGTTTCCGAAATGGACGCATGTCTAGAAGCCTCTTTCTGATCGTGTTGATGCACTGCGAAGATGAACCCTCCAGGAAACCTTCTACTTACCAAGCACCAAAGGTTCCTTCACCAAAGTTGAAGATGTCTGAGTCTTCTATCCACTGAAACTGGAATCACACCATTCGGACCAGTACCCTAGAAGTTACGCTTCCCTGAATGTGAAGTGGTCTGAGGAGCCCTGAACGCTGCGAGATTGATAACCCTTATTAAGGCCTTGAAATTATGCTAAGGGAAAGATGGCACGGTGGAATGCCACGGCCTACATCTGAACGTGGCACTTGATTTCAGTTCTTTGGGGTTTGACACGGTCTTCACACCACGGTCTACACTTGACCATGGCAAGATAACACTTAGCCGCGGAAGGATCTTACTTGCATTCGGGAATTGCCACGGGGTAATGCCACGATCTACACTTGACCGTGGCAAGAAAACACTAGTGATCCTTCAGACATTCGGGACTTGACACGGCCACGCATCACGATTTTGGACTTGGCCATGGCACTTGATGCAATCTCTCGGCATTTAACACGGTCTCCACGCCACGGCTTTAGACTTGGCCGTGGCAACTTTATGCGTTCCTTCGGCGTTTGACACGGCCATGCATCACGACCAGAGGGAACCCGTGGCACCATGGTTCATCCAAGAACAAGAGACACAGGACTTGACACGGTCACTTGCCACGGTTGACCAAAACCTGCTAGACCTTGGCAAACTTCTTCTTTACCCACCAAAGCCGGGTCAGTAACCGGTTTGTTTCGGGCTGACCCGGTTCGTCCAAGGCTACTATAAATACATTTTAGACCTAATATGGAGAGAACCTTATCTTCTATTTAGTCTCCTTTTCCTTTTTGGTGAAAGAACCACTTGCTAATACCTTGTTTTTGAGTTTAATATCGATTTGAAGAGTGTTTTCCATCTTGTTCTATCATTTCTCATCATGAAATCACACTTCTAATCATGATTAACAACACATCTTGCAAAGGATCTAGTGTGTTGATCATGATTAGTGAGTAATCCCATATTAAGGTCTTAGATATGTAAATTAGGGTGCTTAAGTGGTAGATCTTAGGGGTTAGATCATGCATATTCCATTCTCTACAACCTGTTCTTAATGCTAGATCCATACAAATCATATGTGGTCTAGATT